ACCCTGAGATTCAGACACTGTATGCTTAAGCCAGGCATATCCCTAGAATTCTCAGCTACCTAACTCAAAAATTCTTCTGTTTGTCCTAACTGGTTTGACTCAGCTTTCTGTCCTTTGTCATCACATGCATTAGCTGAGTCACTCTATTAGAGAAACTTTCACTAGAAATCAGTGGTGTTACTTAGGAAACTCAGGGACCTAATTTATATTACAGCAATTAAGTATACTTCAAATTCCGTCCTAAAAGCAAGAAAACCCCCTTTCCATTCTTCTGGTTCCTTTTTCTTTCCTGGATAGGATCAGGAAAGTTTCAAGGTTCATTTCTGAGGTTCCCCTGCCCCCAAGAGGGGGCAACCTTGTGCTTATCTTACTGAACAACCAGAAAGCACCTTACACACCGCGCAGTGTCTCCGAGTCAGTTCCTACCAACCCATTCCCCATAAGTCTGGGGGCAGGGTGTGTCCACTCAGGCTAGTTGCAGAAAGGCACCCAATCCCTCCCATCCCATTGGAGCTTCTTTCCCAAGAGAGGTTGTTTCAGATTAAATACCACAGAGAAAGTCACAGCAACATCAACTTTAATTCCAAGCACCACTTCTTTGTGAGAACTGGCAGCTATATCGTCCCATTCTTGCGGCTAGTAATCGGGTAAGGTGCCAAAAAGCAAAACAGCAGTGGGGAGAAAAAGGACCAAACCAAGAGTTTAAATCATTTATACAAATGGATATGTAGTCTTTGAATAATTGAGGCTATCCAATTTGTAGGATATTAAAGAAGTCCCTAATCTACATTTGTGTTAGAGCATGTCATTACTATTTCAGGACATTAAAATTTTATTGTGATAGTTATGGACAATACTGCCAAAGAATTTCACTTATTGGCTATGTTAGATATTAAAATAAGGGAAATGTTAAATTATAGAATGCTATATGTTGAATATTTAATGAGTTAGTCCCCCCATACTGATAGTAGGAGTTCCAGAAAGAGTGTTTGTCACACTTAATCAATACTAGTTAATGATAATGGCTTGAGAGCAAGTGGATGCCTAATTGGTTCACAGTCCAAATTAGAAGCACAGAGGAATCACACTCAAAGCTAGAATTATTCTAAAAATGATCATTGGTAGTTATGGATAGCAAAGGAAAGAAGATGGAAGCTTTCATCAGAGTTGACTGCTTCGAGGTCATTAAACATGAACCTATTCATATAAATTTTGGCCATGATTTCCAGGCCCAGTTATTTTTCTTTCATGTTTTTCATATAACTTGGAATGGTTTCAGATTCTTTTGGGCAACCAGGGGCTGATTCTCACTCCAGAGTCCATGGCACTTCTCAAAGGAGGAGGAGAGGAAGGAAACAGAGAAGAGAGAAAGAAGGAGGATAGAGAGAAATGAAGGAAGAAATACGGCATGGAAGAGGGAGAGGTAAGGGCAGGAAAAGTAGAAAAAAGGAAAGAGAAGGTGAGGAAAAGAAGACGGGAGTCAGGCAAGATTGAGGAAAATCAGAAAAATACGAATCTTTTATAATTTTGATATTACTGGCGTACTCCAACTTTTTAAAATCTAATGTTCCAAAGAGCACTCACAGAGGAGTATATGGCTAGTAACTGGAGATCCCTCTTTCCTGGAAAGCTGAAACAAATACTAGGCAATCCTTAGGAAATAAATAGAGTTTTAATTCAGATTGCTTTACAATACAAAAAATATTAAGATGTTTAAACTGGATTTCACATACAGATAGCAATAATTAATTTAAAATTATTTAAAATATTGTCTGTTAGCTTAACTGAGAGATACGTGATAGAAATAATTGTAATGATGGAGGAGGGTGTACTGGAAGGTCCTGAGCAGGGGCTTTTCTGGGAATTGAGCAGATAATACCTGAGACAGGAAGGGAAAGGAGATGGTAAAGAGGTTTTGCCTAGGGGCCATTTGCATCTAGCTGGTTTTTATTTGTTTTAAATTTGCTATCCTGCAAAGCTGTTAGCAACTTCTTGAGGAACCTGACAAGACTAAGAAAGAAATTTAGGGCTGAGGGTTTAGCTCAGTGGTAGAGTATTTGCATGCATGAGGTCCTGGATTCAATGCTCAGCACTGAAAACAAAAATTATGGTAGGCTCAGGTGACATATTCCTGATTCCTGAGTTGGGCTGCCTGGACAGAAAAGTCATGTTTCATCCACCTGAGCTCTAATTTTCTTACTGCAAGGACTTTATAGTAAAAGGGACTAGTGTAAACAGAAAGCATTGCTTTAAGCCCTACCATTCATCCGTTTGATGAAGTTTGAGGGAAACAGGAACAATTCAAATGTGTTGAGGATCAGTGATTTCACATTTATAGGCATAAAGCTTAGTTACAGCTTTGAAAAGATTCTACATAAATATGAAACAATTTTGTTATCACTGGTCATATAACCAGATACCTTGTCAATATTTTCTGATTCAGATTATTAAATTTCATATTAAGATATGATAAAAGCTTTCTCATTGAGCTCCTGTCAATTGTGGCAGTTTATGATTTTGAGACAATTCATACAACTATAATTATTTTATCTTCTGCTTTTCCAGGGTTGTTTTTGGTTGTTTTATGAGGAAGTCTGAGAGAAAGAAAGAAAGAAAGAAAGAAAAAAGCAAAGAAAGATAAAGAAAAAATATGGTAGAAAGATAGTCATTAAAAAGAATTTCTAAGCAGATACAACTTGAAAAACAGTGAGTGTTTTGAAGGATCACCTCACAAATAACAACTAGATTTTAAGATAATTTTTCAAGTGATGAAGGCAAAGCCAAGATGTAATAGCAATAATAGCAGTAACCACTGAAATTTAATTGAGAGCTGAGCATCTATTAGGTACTGTTTTACCTACTTTCAGTATATTTATTGTCTATCTGATTCTAGCAAAGCCAGAATGTGATAACTGCTGTTTTAGTCCTATTTTAGTGATAAAGAATCAAGTAATCAAAAATTCAGTTGAATGTATTGATGTATACAAAGGAAATATTCTGAAACTGCAAAGATCAGAGTTGATCTCAACTATTTCACAGCATGAGGATGTTGAAAAGGGTCCAATGAAGAAATCAAGCTTACAAAGTTGATAGGAAAAGTGAATAAATGAAATGCACATTAGCAGATTCAAATGGGCAGTCAGCTTGGCTTAAGGCACACAAAAATACAATCTATGTTCGTTTTATTTGTTTTCTGCATTTACTGCTACTTGAAGCCTGAAAATTCTAATCTCTGACCTCAGCACACTGCAGAAAGAACTTGGCTGGGCCAGCTTTCATCTTTTGGTCAAATCGTCTGCAGAGACCTGTCCTGTTGATTGCAAATGTATTACTTTACCACTACTTTAAGCAGAAATGAAAGAAACACACAGAGATGGTTATGATGCTGGCATTATTTTTGGAGCAACTGCAATATGCTCTGATTTGATTGGACAGAATTGAACTTAATGAGGAACTTATTAATACTTTTAAAGTTAGCTTCAATTTTTCTTTTCATTCCTTCCAAAAGAAAAGGGCTAAAGTAACATTTGGCTTTCTGCTAGCACTTAGCTGCTGACAGTGGACTATTTATTGGGTTTTAAATAACATGTTTTAACCATGGCTGTCGATAAAATAGTACCACAGGTGCCCACATTATGCACCAAAGACCACAGAAGAGCTCCTAAGAAGTTGTGTGTAGTCAAATTTGTGAAATCTCATCCAGAAGAGTGCCTCATCATTCATAGGTTCATTATAATAAAATTTTTATGAGTCTATTTGTAATGTGAATTATGCCTTAATTTATTCTTAAGTTTGATTTGTGTGTGTGAGAGATCTTCTGAAAGTAAGATATAGCTGGAGTTAATGGAACTCTAGGAACTTCTAAGTAAATCAGAGCTACTCAGATATAATATTTGCTCATTCATTCATTCATTAGCACTCTGAAAAGATGCCTTGTATTGAGTACCATGCTGGGACTCAACTGATGGCAATGAATAAATCCAGTAATGCTCCAAAGCTCCTCAATCAAGGTTGGGGAGGAGAATTTTGACATGTTAAGTATTCTTAGAGACAGACATAGTGGCACATGTCTCTAACCCCAACTACTAGGGAGGCTGAGGTAAGAGGATCTCAAGTTCAAGGCTAACTCGGGCAATTTAGCAAGACCCTGTCCGAAAAGAAAACAGGCAGGGGCTGGAGCACTGTGGAAACCCCTCCTCACCCCGGGTTTGATCCTTAGTGTAGGGTAAGGATAGTAGGAGAAAGAAAAAAAATTTAGAAAGTAAAAAATGAAACATTACCTTCTTGAAATCTCCTTCCCATATATAACATGTAACACAATAATGTGATGAATTTGTGTTATTGCCAAATGTCAAAAATCACAATGATTTTTGGCGAGTTTTGGAGGGCTGAATGCCTGGGCTCTAAGAGGGAGTCTCCCAGCACCATAGGTGAAAGACCTCAGATTCTAGTGGCCAGCCCACGCCACACCTTCATCTTCTGCTCTGTTTTTCAAGAGAAATTGTTACCCACAAAATTTGAGAGAGCAGCAGAAACTGGCACACTTTCTGATCCTCAAACTTTTTAGCCGATTTGCCAAATGACTGGTCCTTTTTCACTGGCAGGAAAGCTGAATAGTAAAGACATAATTCAGGGTGTGAGGGTGTGTTCTCTTGCTCCCTTTTAGTCAAAGATAAGTAACTTTGTGAGCAGAGGAGCGATGGTAAAGAGAACACCCACAGGGATAGTCCGAATAGACCACCTGAGACTCAGGAATCTTGCCCTTCCTTTAGCCCCAACCCATCCTCCTCACCCTGGGCCCGGCCACATCTAGGATGAGGCTAATGGGCTAGCGAAACTACAGAAGCGAACACGCATCCCCTTCTCAAAGTCTGTGCAGCCGAATCCCTGCGCTCACTGCATTCTGGGGAAGGTAGTTCAGTAACAGTAAGGCACAGTCTAGGAAACCAGGGATCCGCCCCTTCAGTGACCCCGCCCCGGGTTGCCTAGGAGACGAAAGACGCCGCATCTTAGTTGCGCCGGGAAGAGACAGGGAAATCATCTGAGGTCAGCACTCACCTCCTGCGGGCCATGGACAGCCTTGATAGTTCACACCAGGACTGGTGTGGCAGTAAGCAAAACTGGTATGAGATCGGACCCACGGACTTGCTGGAGCGCAAGGGCTCCCTGACCCTCCGCTCCCATCACAAGAAGTACTCCAGGCCTGTGTTGGTGTATTCCTGGTGAGCGAGCACCCCGAAGCCCCCGGGTGCTGGAGGAGGGAAGGGTAATAGGCGATGGGACAGGAGAGGGAAAAGAGTTACAGAGAGGGAACAAGAGTGGAGAGGAGAGGAGGAAGAGAAGGAATGAAGGGATGAGGAGGAAGATGAGACGAGGGGGAAGGGGAGCAGAGGAGAAGAGAAAGAGAGGAAAGAGCCCTTCTAAGGCGCGATGCCCAGGGCAGAGCGCGGGCTGGGCAGCAGCCGCAGGAGGAGGAAGACAGCCCTGCAGGAGGCTCCCGCTCTGCCCGGCCCGCGGAGTGTTTGGATCATCCACGCAGGAGAAGGTGCATGTGGCAGGTTAGAGTCCGGGAAATCTCCTTTCTGAGACCAGCACTTACTCACAAAAGGCAGGCGTTAGAAGATAGGGACCGTGGCAGGAGGGAGGCGTTTTCAAAGCACCAGTACCCTTTCCTGGGGTGGGAGCAGGCACACCGAATGCTTCCACAGAGGTGTTTGCTAAGACTGTTCAGCCAGAGGTGGCCAACAGACACTGTTTGGCATGTATTCTGCTCACATTAAAAAAAAATTAGTCGGACCCATTTAAAGCTAAGAGATTCGCCTCCAATTTGAGGGCTGTGTCTTCTCTTGCAAAGTTGAAAGACCAGGCAGGAGAGATTTTCTTCCCTTGGGATCTTTCAATGTCCAGGGGCTGAGCAGTGGCTGTTCCTTAAGCTGAGACCTGTACTCCTTCTAAGCACTTCACGCTGAGCTCTTGCCTGACCCGGGAAAAGGGATTTAAGGATTTAAGGATAGATGTTTTCAGGATCATGCTTAGAATTCAGAGATTCTCTTCTTTCACTAAATATTACAGGTACCAATAGCAACACCCGTATGTACATACCTGGGAGAAAAGTAGAGACTTTCTTTTGGGTCAACTTTTCTGGCTGCACTGTTGACAATTATTATTATCAGAGTATTTGGATTATTTGAGAGAAGTGAATAGAAAAGAGAAACGAAGCCATAAATGTTGTTTATGTTTTTGTCTTTGAAATGAGATGGATAATTTTGATTTTATCGCTGCTTGCTCCTATTCATTCGTGTAATGTATGTGACACCTGTGGTTTCTCTCTTTTTTATTTTAGAGAGAATAAAAAAAAATAACAACAATAAAGACAAAAACAAAACAACACAAAAACAATAAAAACATTATAGGATTTCAAAACAAAGTGATAGGAATTAACAGTGGTTGTTATATTACATATTGTTATCCTCAGTGACCTTGCTCAGGTTACCAGCTGTAGGAATGCAAGATTGGTCAAACCATTAAGGAGAATAAAAAGTAATAAAAGATTAGAAATGATACAGAGCTTCACTAAACAAGATGGTAGAAGTTCAGCAATGATTGTTATATTGCATATTGTGGTCTTCAAGTTAGTTGTTCAGATTATCAGATATAAGCACATAAAATTGCTCAAGAAAAAAAAATTTAAGCATTAACTGTTCCTTTCAGTAAACCATTAGATATCAGCAGTGCAATTGTCCCAGCTATCCATATATATATATTTCCTTCCTTCTTTCTTTTCTTCTTTCCCTCATCCCAGTTGTTCTTTCCCTTTGAGCAATTTCTTTCCCTTTCACAATATCTACTGTACCTTTTGGGTTTCATTTACTCTTTCAGGTTTTTACACTAGGGAGACAACACATTGTTTACACATGTGGGTCTGATTTATTTCACATATGAGTATGGTCTCTAGTTGCATCTATTTACCTACAAAAACCTCAAGTTTATCTTTTTTATAGCTGAGTAATACTGCATTATATAAAAATACCACCTCTTTTTTTTTATCTATTCCTCAGTTGATGGACATTTGGGTTGTTTCCAAGATTTAGCTATGACAAATTGCACTGCTATAAACATGGGTGCACATATATCGCTGTGATATGATGTTCCCAGTTTTTCTGGAAAAATACCCAGAAGGGGAATAGCTGGGTTAAGTGGGACTTCTAATCCTAGTTGTGAGGAATCTCCACACAGATTTCCACAGTGGTTTCACCAATCTACACTCCCACCAGCAGTGGAGAAATGTTCCTTTTCCCCTACAGCCTGTCCAGCATTTGTTATTGGTTGATTTCTTGATGATAGCCATTCTTTCTGGGGTGAGATGGAATGTCAGTGTTGTTTTAATTTGTATTTCTCAAATTACCAATGATGCTGAACATTTTTCATATATTTATTTGCCATTTGTATTTCTTCATCTGAGAAGTATGTATTCATCTTAGATGCCCGTGCAAACTTCCTAAAGCCGCCTACTCCCTGCTTTCCCACAAGTGTACTCCCTAACTTTTCTCACCCCTAAAGCTGACTCTGCCTATTTCAAAATCAGCATGCAAGGTCATATAGATTTAGAATTAAAGCTACACTGGGAAACAGACAATCTTCTTAGCCTTGTGTGGCATTTGTCTCATAGCCTTCATGGAAAACACAGCTCTTCAGTGGTTCTGTTCCTCCAGGGGAATTTGGGTCATAATGTAAACTCCCACTGGGCGTTATGGTTAAAGACAAGCAACCTAAAGGACCGTGCTTTCTTCTCTCTTCCGCACTACTATGCGGCTTTGGAAAGTTGCCTGTGAGCATCACGGACATCAAACACTGAAGGACATAAATGTGAATGAAGTGAGGGACCCAAGGAGGGGTGAAGGGCAGTGGGCCATGCTAAGGCATTCAGCTGCTGCTGAACCTCTGGAGAGCCTCATACTGTTGGCTTTAGAAGGAATATTTGGGAACTGGAAGATCTGAATTCAACACAATTGACATTTATATGTCAGGCCTTTATTATGTGGCCACAGAGATAGAAATAAAAATTATTGATGAGATAACTTGTCACCTTGCCTGGAACATAGTAAGTAGTTGATAATGTATGAGAGCTAATACTACTGATATAGCATAAAACTTGGGCTCAGTTGGATGTGATGGTGAACACCTATAACCCCAGCACTCTGGAAGGCTGAGGCAGGAAGATGGAAAGCTTGAGGACCACCTGAGCGATTTAGCAACTTAGCATGACCATGTCACAAAAGATAAAAGGGGTGGAGGAGGTGCTGGGATGTAGCTCAGTGTGAAGGCCCTGGATTCAGTCTCCAGTACCACAAAGTAAGCAAACAGGGCGGGGGATCTAGCTCAGCGGCACAGCGCCTGCCTGGCAAGCACAACGTCGTGAGTTCGATTCCTGCTACCCGTAGAAAAAGACAAAATAAACAAACAAACAAAAAAACAAAAAAAGTAAGCAAACAAAAAAACAAACAAGCCCTGGTCTCTGGGTTTGAGTATCAATTCTGCTGGTATATAATGTGGCAAGTGACCTGAGTGCTCTACCTCTGCTTCTGCAACTGCGAAATGGGCAGATAAAATTATTGCAAGATTAAACAAGGCATTGTGTGTGAGATACCCTTTAATGTGTAGCCTGGCATATAGTAAGAACAGTGACATTTGCTTGTATATAGCCTTAGGGGTTTGATAGGCCAGTAAAGAAGGTTAGTGTAAAAAAAGTTCAGTAAGATCTGATTTGTGCAAGGAAGAGATACATTCATGTAAGAAGCCAAGCTACCAGGAGGGGGATGATTGGTGTGTATGTGTGTGTGTGTGTGTGTGTGTGTGTGTGTGTGTGTGAGTAGTTTCCTGAACAGGGTTTTGAAGGAAGAATATGAGCTCCAGAGGTTGTCAAAAGAAGACAGGCAAATGCAACAGAATAGTAAAAAGCAGCATCACAGGAAACAGAAGCAGTTCCCTGTATTTAGCAAATACAGTTGATACCCATTGTATGCGGATTCTACACTCATCTACTTGGTAAACTTCATTTGTAACTCAAAATCGATACTTGAGGTACTTTTGTGATCATTCACAGATACATGCAGAGTGGCAAAAGTGGGCAAAAAAAATTTCCCCAGTGTGCTTGTTTCCAACTGGAGTCAAAGCAACACTCTGTCCTCTTGTTTCAGCTGTCATACTGTAAATGTGTCCTTTTCATGGTTCACTTAACGATACATTTTACATTTTGCATTTTTGTGCTTTTTGTTGGTGATGGTGTCAAAATGACCCCCATGCCTCATGCTGAAGTGCTGCCTAGCGCCCCCCAGGACAGGAGGATGGGATGTGCCTTACAGAGGAGCCTGTGTGCTGCTAAGCTTTGCTCAGCTCTGAGGTGTAGTGCTGTTGGCAGTAAGCTCACGTTAATGAATTGATGATACATATTAAATAAGATGTCTTTAAACAGAGACATATAACACAAGATTGTGTATTGATTGGCTCATGAAAATATTGTGACCAGAGGCTCACAGGAACCTCAGCCTGTTTCCTCTGGGAGAAATAGTTCAGTACTCACTAGCTGTCTTTTGCACCTTTATTGAACATGCACATACAGAGAGTCAACTGTAAAATGTGAGAAACCATAGCATTTTCTGAAGCTGGTCATTCTGCTGACAAGGTTGTTAAGGTTGTTTTCCTTCCATATCCAATCAGTCACCAAAATCTGAGTTAAAAAACTGCATAAAATTCATAGCGTAAACCAGGTATAGTGGCTCAAAGTTATAATCCCAGTGTTCTGACAGGTTGAGGCAGGAGGATGACAAATTTGAGCCCAGCCTGGGCAACTTAGTAAGGCTCTACCTCAGAAATAAAAAATGTAAAGGTCTGGGGTTGCAGATCAATGCAAAGGCCCTGGGTTCAATCCCCAGTCATGACAACAAATCAGAGTGGTCAGGCACATGCCTGGAATTCCAGCACTTGGGAGGCTAAGGCAGGAGTATCCTTGCAAGTTCGAGACCACCCTGGGTTACAAAGTAAGCTCAAAGCCAGCCTGAACTGCATAGGGAGGCCCTGTCTCAAAAAGACTAAAAGAGAAAAAAAAAAAAAAAAAACCAAATTAGAGTGTATAAACTTTGAAATGAA